ACTCTTACAGTCCGTATTTTAAGTTCATCTGTAGAACAACTGATTATTTTTAATAAAATTGTTCTATACACATCCAGTAAAGCCAATAATCTAAAACTAGTGTTCTTAAGTTAATTCTAGATATATTTAATTTATAGACATTCTGCAGTGTTTGTACTTATTGACAAACACGTTATAGCGCGTCTTCAGTAGATTTTATTAAAAAAAGTACTACAATTAGGGTTTTTACTCTATTGGACGTTGTAAGAGTTCATGCAAAACGGATAAAGTAAAGAATATTAAAAGATCTGGTGGAGGTGGTAAACGTTGGATATTAAGTCACATCATTCGATACAATCAGCGTTCCCAATGCCAATTGTTCAAAATCCCCAAAAATCACTATATAATAATAATAATAATAACGTACACACTCGACATAGCCCCCCACTAGGGAAACCCTGTGTCGCGGGTGCCATGGACACACACGTAGACAACCACAAATTACATCCAAACACGAGAGAAATAAATGTAGGCCATACAAATAAATAATTCTATTTAAGCTGCTTGTTAATAATACGAGGGATATGCGATGTTGAATAACACGTCGATATAGTCCATTACAGTGTTTCTAACAGTAACGATCAAACTAGCGATGCATCAGCAATTTATGGATTAAACAAAATGATAACATGTTAGAATCCCCACATTTTCCTCACATATCCCCACAAAATCCCCAATCTAGTTGAAACTCCCCACAATTTGGGGAATTCCCTACAAATTGGCAATGCTGAATACAATAGTCGTAATTCGCGCTAGGGCCGGTCATGGCCGGCATTTGTTTGTTGACAAATAAATAAACATTGTGAAGTAATTCTGTGTTGTGAAATGATAAAAACAATTGAAATGAGCGCGTAAACTACTTACTGTACTTCAATGTTGTGTATGTGTTTTGTACCGTCTATCAATAGAATACAGTGAAATCATTGTGTGAAATGTGGTTGGCGTGAAAATATAACCTCAATTTTGTAATGAAAATTTTCTTCCATCATAAGTTAGGTATGTCATTAAAATATTCCTTATATTTAAATGATAGCAAATTTATCCACCTTTCTAGTCATATTATAGCACATTCCATATAATTATACAGAATAACGTTTTTTTTTGCAACAAATTGGATTTTTTCCAATTGTTTTTTTGGCCAAGTGTTTTGAAAAGTTTTTTATTGCATAAACTCACTTTTTTGTATAACCTTAGAATAATAACGCCGTATAACCTTATAAAGGTTATGTAATACTGTCAAAAGAAAAAATCGCTTAGAAACATCGCGTTTTGTAGACAATCATAAAAATCTCATATAGGAATATTCTTCGACAAGTTCAACTACACTAAAGCAAGGAAAAATAATCTTTTCGTATTCTAAAGTTTTTCTATAGATAAAGCTATAGACAAAATTCTTCCAGCTGTGTTTTGAAAAAGCTTTAACTCTTATCGCCATTTTTATTTTTAAAGAATGACGTAGCCGGGAAAAATTTCTTTTGTTTTTAAAAAGTAAATCTAAGTTGAAATTAGCTTGAAGAAGTCTAGAACTTCTTGGAAATGGTTTGTTTTGTGAGTTATTTTGTATATTTAAGCTTTCTATAAATATTTAAAACCGAAAATCGATAATTGTATTTTTATTAAGTTTATATTTTATACATAAATAATTAAAATTTAGCGAGCGCATTACTTTTATTACAGGTTTTACATCACTTCACAATGTATTTAAAGTCGGACGTCAATTTGCGCTTTCTAACCGATTAAACATTGCGCGAAAAAGTCAGAAATATTATATCTAATTTCGGCATGTTGCAATTTTGATAGTTTATATTTTGTAAGCCATTAAACTTGAAATCTATTAGTATTAAGAGAATTGCGTCCTATGTTTGTAACGCTTTAGTATTTTGGTTTTAAAGTAGCATTACTAAGAAAACTATCATAGACTATAAATTATCTAAAAACTATCTACAAGACTAAATAAAAACTGTCTACATTCTACAAATAGTCTTGTAGCATTCTAGAAGGGTTACTGCAGAAAAAATATAAGAATCACTCTTAACACTACCTACAGATAGTTTCTCAAAGCACTCTTGTGATCTACTAATAAAGTTGTGCCCACTTTTACTTTAAATTCTAGAAACCTTCTTCAAGATATCTTGAGGGAATTTGAACTCTTAAAATATTCAGTCGAATTAAATTCTATTAAATATCTTATAGTATATATTTAGATATGGGTGTGCTGCTTGGGCTGATACATAAATTGAAAAGACCCACGTGCCTGTAATTTTGTCAGCACGCTTATCCTTCAAAACCCAAACGCAATAATGGTCACATTACTATTTAGCAGCAGAAATAGGTAAGGTGGCAATACTTCCCTCTAATGCTACTAAAACTATTACTGCACTGAATGCGTGAAAGAGTAATTTTACAAAAAAAACTGTTTTTAAAAGAATATTGTTTCTAAGTCAGAAATAAATTAAGAATTTGGTTTGTTTGAAAAAATATATAGTGCAAAAAATAGTTTCGTTAATATAACGTTATATCTGTCGTATTTACATTGCAAAGTAGATAAAAAATATGCACAATGTACTTAATATTATAATACAAAAGAAATTAAAACAATGAAATTTAGGGCCGCGCTGGAGCATCATGTCAAAGAGTCTGGCAACATTTCCACTTTTGACAGTTAAACTAATTCTTTAGCGGAAGTAGCTCCCAGTCTTTTGGTCAGCGGAGTTTCTGACGCAAGCTGAAAGCTCCTTAGCGAAAAGTTTTGCCTGTTGCCCCCAGTGGCACTGTGGATTTCTTCAATGTCCTCAAAGCTTGCTTGAAAGAGTGAAAGCGAACGGTATCACTGCATAAACCTTTAAGAGATTATTACAATTAAGGAAAAACTATTCAAGTCTATGTATTTCGTGATAATCTTTGTTGGCCACTACAAATTCAAATCAAAAGTGAGTCTTACACGTGCCCCAAAAAATCTAAAAAATGTTCTTTTTTTTAAACTCAATTCGACTGTTTTTTTTGTATGTATGTTACGCGATTACTCCGTATTTGTGAATCAATTTCGACGATTCTTTTTTGTTGGAAAGAGGGTACCTCAATGTTGGTCCCAGCTAAATTTGAAGAAAATATTCCACCTCTAAAGGCAAACTGTGGGGTGAATCCGGTTTCGCACACTTTCCGGTTACTCTAATAAAACTTAGCAAACAGATATAATTCCGCGAACTTTAGAGATCGGTTTTTATTAATAAAAAAGTTATGTTATTTTAATTGACATAATTGATTTAAAATAATGGTTTTATATATTATATCGAGTAAGTCGTTCAACAAGCTAAATCACATTATGTATTTAGTTATATAAAATGTAGGGAATAGCTTACAGGAGCAGGACAGGAAGGAAGTCAAAGTGTCTCATTATGTAATTATGTATTATTTCTAAATTGATGTCACCGTTGTTCCTATGTTTATACTTTGTATAAACTGACCACATTGTTTTCATTATAAAGTTTTAAAAGATTCTGCTTATTTATGTACCAGAACACACGTAGACATTTCTCATTCAGATTCCACGCGAACACATGAATATTGCAATACCGGCCGGGAACAATAGCCGGAATTAGAGAGCGTAGTATCATTATCTTCTATAATTTATGAGTTTCTGTGCAGCCCAAAGGCTGAAGCACTTAATGGAAGTTTGAAGAATTCATTTATTTATGTGGATGATTAGACAAACAAAGGGCTTAAGTACCATAATAAAGTAAGTAGTAAATTTATGTAGGAATTTGTGTAAAATTTGCATAAGAATTAAAATGAGAGTGTTGTTCATTTACTAAAGTGATTGGTAGGATTTTGTTAATGAAGCTTATCAATATTTTACGAAGTGTAGTTGCTCAGTTATATACATGTCAATAAATAATGAAGTTTTAGTTGTGCTACTCCTTACTTAATTTTTTTTAAGAATTAGAAATATAGTAAACAAAGAAGCAGTGATCATAAACCTTTGCCTTTAGACAACAAATTACAGTAATGGAAAACATCGTGAGAATTGATGATAAATGAAAAATTTGTAAATGTCATTTATCTCTATAATATTATGTTATTACTTCATAAAAAGTTTCCGTTAAATATTTGAAACCTCTATTCTTCCTTCTTTCTTTAAGGTTTTTATAGTGCAAGTCTTCGAAATAGATTATTAAGGATGTAAAGAAAGAATTTTTTTATTTAATCTTTGGTGAATATTATCAGTAAAATGTAGAGTAATAGAGCTCCTTTTGCGAAAGTACTCCTCGTCGGTCGTTCGTCCACAGACGTACTGCCACCTTGCCTATTTCTACCGCCAAGCAGTAATGCAAGTATTACTGCGTTCCGGTTTGGAAGGGTAAGGATGCTGATGAAATTACAGGCACATGGGACTTGTCAACTTATCTCAGGGTGTCGGGCGCAGTGGCAATGCCCCTCAGATCTTTGCTATTTAAATCACTGCAACTTTTACGGATAGGCGTGTCGCTTACCTCGTCGTTGGTATTATTAAAAAAAACCTTAAAATTACATAAAACAATAATGTTTGACGATTATGTTTCACGGTATTTATCAAATTGCCTTGCTTACAAGATGACTGAAAAAACAAAGTAGGTAGTAAGCTTTTGAAAATGGAATATAACATTTAATCTAACCAATCTAGACATCATTCAGTAACTATTATTGAATTCAACCTCACTGAAATATCATCAAAAGGCTAGGCAACAGTATGTACTATAATATTGTGGTGTTTTAATACAAAGTACTTTTAGATTTTAATTAAACTAGAGATGCAGCAAAAAGTTTACGCGCACCTCCCGCTTCAGCTACTCTTAGTGTTTATGTAATACATCGAGTGAGGTTTCTCTTGGAAATGATCCAAAAGTAACTCCTGGGATTCTTCGTTACATAACAGCGTGCAAGATCAGAAAATCTCTTTTGATAAGTAGTTGAATTGAACTTACCAAATCCTCGTCATCGTCAGAGAAAATATTTGCTCGATCTTGCGTCATGTTTGCTTAAAAATCCAATATCCATAGAAAAAAAACTTCATGGCTTACGAACACACAACACAATGCTCCCTCACTGAAAAGCACTTCAACTGCATCCAAAATCGCCCTACCAAATTAGCGCCCTTGTGATTCATATCTTAATTTTAAACAACAGTATCGACACTTATTAATTTCTGAGTGTTTTATAAAAGCTCTGATTATAAAATTCTTTATCCAGAATCTAAAATTTAAGTTGTAAAAACAAATATGACGTCGATCGTCGATGATTGTAGAGAGGTGTCAAGCGACCGGCGACCCTCTCTATTCGGAGTACGAGGGCTTACTGCGGCGAAGGGCGGGCGAGTGAAAGCACTGCAGCGTCTGGTAGCCATGGCAACGTGAACGTTTTCACCTCACTCAGTGCTGCGGGCTTGTATGCATTGTCGACGGTAATATCATCCGACATGGGAAGCGAATTAAAATGTCTTCCGTACGCCAGGTTATTGCACGAGTAATTAAAATACTAAAATACGGGTTGGAAATTTGAGAACAGACCATAACGGCAGCTACCCGATCTGTTTCCGCTTCATGAAAAAAGTCTTAAGGGATCATCCCGAACTTATGTTTTCGACAGTATACACTTACAGATATGTACAGACATTACAATTAGAGAGTTCATTCTCGTATTTTTTATGTCGTCAATTCATCATTTTTCCTAACAGGATTAAAATATTATATTGAGACTAACTGAGGTTGGGGTAGTCGAAATTTCATTACCAAAAAAATGAAATAAAATATTTCCGAACAATAATTTAAAATATTTTAGTTAAAATAAAAATTTAAATTAAAATAAAACTTACAATAATGATTGTAAGCACCTTGCGAATTAAATGAAAATAACATATGTACGAGTGGACATCAGAGTTCCAAGGTACGTACATATAAGTGAATGTTGTTGTGGCAATATCTCTTGCCAGCGGTGACGGCAATATTATATCGCGATAAAAACCAGCGAAGCCTCTAACCCACGTTGGTCAGCGGGCGGCAAGGACTATATAGTCATTGCCGCACGAGTATAGCCTAAAGTCTATCCTTAGAGTGTACCAGCAACGGTACGTGTAATGGGATCATCATCCCATTTTGCCTTTCATCATCATGAACAAATGCGCAACTCATTAAAACAATGTTTGAGAAAGATGCCAGGATATTGTGTCTTCGTTGCGACGCCTGAGGATCAGCTAAAGGCTCAGGAGACAAAGTACCCCACATTGGGTGCGTAAATAAGCAGCGCGACGGCGTTACCTTGCGAGTTTGCGACACTGTATTGCTCGCATGACACTCAGGGTCGTATTCCAGAACTCTACTCAATGTGAGCATCCTGACTTGAGAGTCAGGATTTGAGCAGACTTGAATATGATTTCAAGCACTGGAAATACGACCCTAATGGCAAGGACTTGAGTATGTTTTTCAGTGCTCACTGCAACACTCAAGTCCTGACTTGAGTATTGAGTAGAGTTCTGGAATACGACTCTCAGTGTCAGACGAACCGGCACCGCCCGTGTGACATCACTCGTACCTGCATGGATACAAAAATCATAATGATGTTATGTAATTACTCCATTACTAGGAATAATTATATGACAATGCCTAACTAGTAATTGGCAATCAAAATAAGCTCTATAACGGTTTTTTTATTAGATACATTAAATACCTATATCTATAATACAACCAAAAATTTAGCATTGGAGCACGCTATAACTCTCTTATAGTCCGAACTAGGCACCGACGTTAGCACATAAAGGCTCGTTAGTAGGTCGAAATAGTGGTATAATAGTATTATAGCAACGATTTTTATTAACAAAGGAGATAATAAAGGGTTATAATGCCCGTATTTCTTGCCGAAGGTTCTATGAAACCTGTAAGATGTTTTCTTATATCGCTTAAAGCATTATAAATACGATGAAGTGGTGATAAAAAACTCTTTGTGTGGTATTGTATTCTCTTTGTACGCAATTTTATAGAAATATCTCTACCTCGAACTAAACATTATGTCATAATACGCGGGTGCTGTGTGTTAATATCGCGATCGTACTGGCAACGAGTTAGAAATTAAATGTTAAGTACTTAGTTACTAGCAACCATTATGAAGTAGAAAAGTGACATATTGCGGATGTAAGTTTTCCCTTATTATATATGATATTTTATATGTCAATTTCGAAGCGCCTTAAATAAATTTACGTTTTTATATAAATCTTAAATATAAGAGAAGGTTTTCATTTCGACTGTATTTTTGTTTTTTTTTTTGTGTGTGTATGCTACGCGATTACTCCTACATTTGTGAACCGATTTCGATGATTATTTTTTGGTTAGAATTAGAAGTTGAATCCGGGTCCGCTTTCCGCTAACCGATTTCAATAAAACTTTATTTTTTACCTTACTTTGAGGTCCGTTTTTTTAATAACATTGTTACAATTATATAAAAAATATATATAATTAAGTGAAGATGTACAAGTTATATTGTAAATTTTAATTGCCCGTTATAGCGCTTGAAGAGTAAAAAGGGAGTTTCGTCCAAATATGTAGTTACAAAATTTTCAAATTTAGCCGACGATAATTATGTTATTTTAATTTATTTAATAAACATTACACATTAATTAAATAAATAATACTTCGCACAGTATTTCAAGATTTATATTTTTGCTCACAATACCATAAAACAGTTCCTTCAATGATTGTCTTTGCTTGTAACTGGAAAAGTGAAGAAAAGTTATTGGAATACCTTATTTTTATTGATTATTGACTGCCTGCCGGTAGTGAGGACGCCAGTTATAAATCTTTCCGAGAAACGATTCTGCGACTAATTTTGTGAATACATCTATAGGTTTTTTTTGCTCGGGTGTGGCAATGGTAAACCGTAGATTTTATTTTAACCATCTGTGTTGAATTTGAAATCTTACAATTTACCTGGGCAGCTATTGTTTATTAGAGAAACTAAACTAGACTTATCACTGCTCTTCAGGAAAAATGGTTCAAACCAATATAGTAATTTTGTTTATTAATGTCACAGGTGTACCTAGTCAGATAAATTTCATTGCGAATAAGACACTGAACTTTCGCTTGGTTAAAATAATCTTGTAACGTGGGTCGGTATTAATTTTATTTATAATATCAAGTGACGGGACCAACAAATCGTGCTCCTGATGATGAACTACACGCCTGTCTATAACGGTTGCAGTGATACTCAGAGCTTTAAATCGCAAAGATCTGAGGGGCACTGCCACTGCGCCCGTCACTAGTTTACTGGAATTTCACCAACATCCTTACCCTTCAAAACCGGAACACAGTAATGCTGACATTACTGCTTGGCGACAGAAATAGGTAAGGTGGCAGTACTTCCCGGGACGAACTCTTTCACAAGGAGCTCCACTGTTACTAAAATTCGACAACTATCGAGATGTATCCGCGGGCTTTAATTAAGCATAATATTGACAAGAGTGGGGTGCCCGAAAGGAGCACCCCACCCTCAGGGGAGCAAACTCCCCTTTCGACCTACCATAACTTTCCCGCAGATCTGGGGCAACCTTGGCAGCAATCGGCGAGTACCTTACGCCGATTGGCAAATACTTTCACCACGTGGCAAGCATTATAGTATAAGCTATCGACACGACAAGAAGAAGACAAGGGTGAAAACCAGGAAGTGCGGCAATATCGCATTAATATTTAATGTTAGTATTACTGTGTTCCGGTTTTGAAGGGTGAGGGTGCTGGTGAAATTACAGGAACATAGGACTTATCAACTTATGTCTCAGGGTGACAGGCGCAGTGGTAGTGCCCCTCAGATCTTTGCAATTTAAAGCTGTGAGTGGCACTTCAGCTGTTATGGACAGGCATGTAGCTAACCATCAGGCGCACGACTTGTTCGTCCCATCACTTGATATTATAAAAAAAATCTCGAAAGGAAATATCTTAAGCCATTTGCTGATTTTTTAATGTGCTTGATCATACGCGTACCAGCGATAAAGAGGTTACCAAAGAGTTTACGTATTCTGAGAGGTTTTTAAGGCACTGGAGATGAAATAAATATAACCCATCAGTAGGTACAATAATATAAATACCGGTAACCGGATAAGAGCCATTAGACAAAAGGTAAGAGGTGGATGATAACAAGTTAAAGTGTTTAAAGGTCCAGGAGGACAACTCGTTATATAACAGATTATACATACAAGGATGGTATTGTTGCTCGTGTAAAAGTTATGCCTACTTAAATCTTATTAGGGTTATCTACGTTGAAGTTATTTTCCTAAGAACTCTGCTTCACAGGGTTTATAGCACCAAAAGATGGAAATAATTGCATACTAAATTGAACACAAAATTTAGCGATGACCGAAAAAATCGCGTTGTTATTTTAATTATTCATTTCCTTAACAATAGTTATTGTGTTGGCAACAAAATATAATGAAAACTTTAAATCAAATACTCCCGTATTTGATTTAAAGTTTTAAGTTACGTACATAATATACAATAATATTAATAAGTCTGGACAAGAAAGTCGTACAATAATAACAATTAATACATTCAATGTCAAATTAGACATCCTTACCACGTTTAAATACAAATTAATGTCAAGTGCTTCCAAAAATAAATTAATGATTTCAAACACCTTTTAACCGATTCCAAAAAGGAGGAGGTTCTCAATTCGACTGTATGTTTTTTTGTGTGTATGTTACGCGATAAATCCGGTATTTGTGAACCGATTTTCATAATTCTTTTTTTATTGGAAAGAGGGTACCTCCATAGTGGTCCCATTTAATTTTGAAGTAAATCACCACCTCTAAGGGTGGCTGTTCACGCATGAAGATTCATTTTTATAAATAGCGCCTAAATTTTATTATAAGCAGAAATTATTTTAATGGTTGACTTTGCTATTTTCCAATTCAAGGTGTTTCGCTCTCAATATTCTTGGAGTAGTGAGAACCGATTTTTATTATCTCCTGTGTCAAGTTCCGTATACACATGTATTC